CTGTGTAACTGGTGTCAGAACAGTCAGAATTATATACTGTTCTTATAGTTACAGAACTTTAATAAATTTGCACTGTGTAAAGCCACCAAGTTTGTGGTAATTTGTTTCAAGGGCATGAAACTAATACACCTACCAACGCATTTCAGGAAATTTATGAACCCACAAGCTGGTCATGAATGACATGTCCTGGGTTAGGACCTCTTCAAGGTAATTTCTAGCACAAATATCCTGTGATTCTATATACACTGATGCTCTGCCCTAGGCAAAACTTGCTCCTGGTAAATAAATAATCTATAAATAAATTATAAATTTATTTATATAATATTATATATATTATATAATATGTATTATATAATAATATTTATATAATAATAATCTATAAATAAATTATAAATAAACACTTTCTAAATAATGTGTTAGAACTGAAGGTATTCTAAAATGCAGAAAGAACAGCTGGATACACATTTTTTAGGTATCAATAGATGTTGACATCAACAGAACTATGTACTGTGACATCAACAGAACTATGTACTGTGAATTGTTTCATAACACAGACATATTGCAGGAACTGAAATATGAGAAAACACATACCTACAGAGGGGGGAAGGCAAATCTGGATCTATGTGGTGTTTTTTGATTATATAAATTTTATAGATCAAGAAAAATGGGCTTATTATTTAGTTTATGCTTCTCATTCTTTCACTTTAACTTGAATTTGAGAAAGCTGCCTACAAAATAAGCATTTTTATTCCAATATGATTTTACAAATCCTATGAGGTCCTAGCAGACCAGAGAAAGATCTGTATTTTGTGGGGACGATAAAGCCAAAGGCAAAAACCATCCAAATGGTGGAGCAAGAATAGTATAATTCGGTATGCAATTCAGTACTACTTGCCATCAGGGCATTGGGCGCTTTGAGCTCCTTCTTGGAAATTTTCTAGAGCCCCCCGCATGGGGCTCTTGGAGTTGGACCTCATTGGGTGGACCCAGGTCTTTCCTTCCTGGAGCATGAAGCCCGGGTTATTCCCCACTATGTCTATGGCACCCAAAGCGGGGTGGTTGCAGGTCCCTAACTCAAGTGCACTGCACCAGCACCCAGGGTAGGGACGAGCACAAACTACGTGCCTCAGATCTGGTAGACCACTGGAGTGGCGCTTCAAGTCCTCTGAGGCTTACAACTGGCTCTTCAGATGGCTGTCCTCCCCAGCCCCAGATCACGTGGTGGCTTTGTGCTCTCCCGGGCTAGTCAAGCTCATTCCTTGCTGGCCAATGCAACTGCTGAACCGGATCCACCCACCTGGAAGGTATGGTGCCACTGACACTGAAAGAGATCCCATTCTAGGGACGCGGTGATCCAGGCCTGAAGAAATCAAGACATGGTTGGAAGATGTGTAGTAAGTTTAGCGTGACTAGAAAACAAATGATCACTCTCATTTTCCGGCATACTTCCGGGTAAGTCTTGCATTTGTGGACATCAACAAGAGCATTCTTTGAGAAAATCACTAGAAGCCAGTATTCAGGAGCAACATGTTGGATGATGGAACTTAATGAGAAGGATATGGCCAACATTACCTTAATGGCATTAGGATACTGCAGAAGCAAGAACTGATTGTTTCAGTAGAAGTTACAAAGAGTCATGGCATTCTGAGTAGTAACAGCACTGTTACTTTTTTTCTTTTTTTCATGGTGGGAGATAGGCAGTTAGATAGGAGCAGTGCATTTCATGATAAAGAACGTGAAGAGATACGTGAAGAGATGGTACATGGGCACTACAGACAAACTCATGCTCACTGATTAAACAAATGCATATATGTCTCTACTACTCTAAATCTTTATCAGTAAATCATCATATCTTACTTTGCCCATGAATTTTTAAAATACATCTTTTAATAAAATTGCTTATATAGATAGACCCCCCCCACCACCACAAAACATGTTTGCCCAGGAAACCACACACCCTTCGGGGTGCCACTGACTCAACCCTTCACTATATTTTCTCACAAGAAGCCAAAGAATAATTTGACTTAAGTGTTTTTTAACTCTCAAGTTCATTTTCCTTCTACATTTTAAGTAATTTATACTTTATCTCCCTAGCCCTATCTTCTTCTATATTTTTGCTCCTTCACTTTCTCTCCTCCTCCTCCTCCACCCAGTCTCTTTCAAATCCAAAGCAAATGTGTGTGTGTGTGTGTGTGTGTGTGTGTGAGAGAGAGAGAGAGAGAGAGAGAAATGGGGGAGAATAATTGAATACATATTTCTAGTGCAATTTTAACATGCCATGAGAAAAATAAAATTAGGTAAAGAGGATAGGGCATACTGAGAAGAGTAGTTGTAATTTTAAGCCAGGTAATCAAGGTAGCCTCAGGGAGAGTTACATTTGAGGAAAAACCTGAAGGAGGTGAGGGAGGGAGCCATGTAGGTATGGAAGGAAGAGCTTGCCAACCAGAGGGAAAGCAAGTGCAAAGACGTCAGGAAGAGAATCTGCGTTGCATGGTGCAGGAACTGTAAGGAGGGTATTGTGGCAGGAGCAGAGAATAGGTGGCAGAGCAGTAGGAGATAAGGTCAGAAGGGTAACAAGATGTGCAGGTGAGGGTTAAGGAAGCCAGATGGGCCTTTAATTTGGGGGGGGGGAGCGGTCAGTTATGAGTACGTGACATGACCTGATTTACACTGTAGCAAGATCACTCTGACTCCTATGCTGAGTTAAAGCAGATTGTAAATGAGGGGGGAAGTAGGGAGGTGAGTTAGGCTCGAAGTGATACTGGGATCACTACCCTTCAAGGGAACACTTCAGAGTATACAAAATTAGAATTTCATATGGCTATTTGTTATTGTGACTAGTAATGAGTGTTGGGACACCTGGCTAAATGAAACATTAGCCACAAGAACTAAAAGAATTAGGATTAACCTTTAAATAGGGAATTTGAAATTCTGTGCATCTGAGAGTAGTGAAGAGTGCCTAGAAAATTCATAGGCACAGTCAAGTAAAAAACACCAAAACACTTTTTAAAGACTGAAAATATTAGGAAATAGCAACTGAGAGTTTGCATTATGCAAAGAAACTTAGATGAATACAAATGAGTAAGACAAATATTTTAGGGACAGTATTCTTTAGTAATGAGGATGAATGGAGAACAGCAATAGAGAGGAGAAGTACTTCAGAAGATATTCTATACATTCAAAATTATGAATAACACTAATATCCTATGTTTGAATTTGCATTATTTCCTGTTCTATGAATGATCTTATAAGCTTATTTAGCTTATAAGTAGCTAAAGCTGGGCTTCTCACTTCCGGCCTCAGATCCTGTGATGTTCTCCCTACACCATTTGCCTATCTACAGAGCTTGAAACACTCCTGTCCTCTAACATCTTTATATATTAAAAACAAAACACTAAAAGAAAGCTAATTTGCCTCATAACAATCCCCCCATTTCAGGGAGTAAAGGGCCTTCCTACATCTGTGAAGTATCTTTGTCATTGTCAAAATGAAATGAAATTAGAGATCAACCAAAAAATTCTTAGTGATGTGATAAAGATGATTTGGCGGGGGCGGGGTGTGCAGTCTTGATTACATTAGCACTAGAACTCTCTTAGGCAGTTATCTGCAGTTTGAGAAACAGAACCACCACATGAACATTCTGAAATATGAAGGCTTTGTAGTGAATATAGCTAACACGCTTGAAAAGGGTTTTTTTTTTTTTAACCAAAAATTCTATTAGTAGTGAAACATAAGAGCACTTCATCTACTAAGTTAAAACTTGCAACCAACATTAATCTTTTTCTGAATATAAACCTTAAATTTGTTGTTTTGCTGTACCTCCTCTATTTTGATAGGTTGTTTTTATTACGTAAAGAAAAGTTTTAAAATTTTACTTTTTTCTTTGATCCATTATTTAAAGGTGTTATCAACTTCTGTGCCAAAATCATTCTGTCATTACCTGTCAATTTGGTTACTAGAACTTCATCTTTCCTGTTGTTCTAGTCAAAAACAGTTTTTGACTTTTTTTTTTTTTTTAACATACCACATCAAATCCTGGTCCTACAGGATCTGCAAATTCCTTCTCATCCCCCCAGTTCACTGTGCATTAGTTACCTTGGCTTCCAAAATACCAAGTGGGGTCTCACCTTAGGACCTTTGAACTGACTCTTCTTCTGTCCAGCTCCCCCCCCCCCACAACAAATCATTGTTTTCTGTGAACTCAGGATATCCAGAAAAATAGGTACCTTATATTTGCAAAGTTAACTCATGTATTTTATTTGATTCTCACCACTGGCAGTAGAGTTCCCAATTTTTCACCTCAAAGTCTAAAAGAATGCCCCAAACCAACTCTTAAAGACACAGAATCAGTACCAAAGTGTAGCTGAATACGTTTGTTTTAACGTATTCCTCTGCTGTAAGTAATACTTCCGGACAAAAGATCAATATGCTTTCTGGTCCATAGTACATTACCATTTTAACAAGAGAAAACTCCAGAGACTTTATCATTGGGGAACTTACTTAAAAATTGTTATCCCCACTACACAAGTGAAATCAGTTTAATACAGAAAACGAAGGAAAATACAAAGAATGTTAAACATCTTTTAATATGCTGGGAGTATTATATTTCCCCATGTTCCTTTTTGACTTAACATATCCATGTTCCTTTACTGTCAACATAAAATAGAAATAGTTCGTTAACAGTCTTCTCTTTAAAGGTACCATGCTCATTTAGCACGAGCAGAATTTCTGCTTCTCTGCCCACTGGAGTCTATCCTGGTCCGCCTTTCGCACAACTCCCTTGGGATGCCAAGGAACTGGGAGACTCGACAAGCGTAAAAACCACCCGGACCCCACCATGAGCCGACTTAAGCCGCGCAGCGATCAACCTCGCCGCGGCCACGGGGTCGCAAACCGGAAACCGGAAGCGGCCGAGTTCGCGGACGCACGGCGCGTACCGTTCGCGGCCACCTCGTCCCGCCTCGGTACGCGTGGCCAGCGTTAAGTCTAGACCCATCGAACGATGGTGTCGCGCTGAGTGGCTTCTCAGGCTCAGGCCCCGAAAAGCTCAGGAATTGGCCCCAGGTGTCCGTAGCGAATGCCCGGCCGGGTACCATTTCCATATTAGCAAATCCCAAGCGGCGGTGCGATCGGCAGCTTCTCAGTGCTCCGCTGGCCAGGCCTAACGAGTCGAACGCGGAACTAGAGAGCAGGCTAGGCCCGTGCGGGGCTGTTGCTTAGCAGGCCGGGCCTGGCTTTGGGCCCCGGGCCTCCCAGCCGGGGACTTTGCGCCTGCGCCCGTCCGGCGGCTGCCGGCTCTCCCGGTGCGGCCGCGGTCCCAGCAGCAGCGCGCCGCCTGGGTGGCTGGGCGGTCCATGGGCAGCAGCGAGGGCCACGATGACAGATTACGGCGAGGAGCAGCGCAATGAGCTGGAGGCTCTAGAGTCCATCTACCCCGACTCCTTCACAGGTGACTTCCGCGACTGCGGGCCTGGAGCGGCCCGGGGGTGGAGTGGGATGGGCCGGAGCCCTCGGCCTCCCGGGCGAGGATGGAGAAGGGGACAGCGAGGCCGCGTGGCCACCTCGCCCGCTACTCTCTCTTCACCCTCTTTTCCCGAAGTGTTCAGGCACTTAGGAGTAACTCCACAGCTTTTTCCCATTCTCCGTTTATTCCCTGAAATCTGAAAGTCCGCGAGAGACTTGGCGAGGTTCCTGGAAAGTGTTAGGCCTGGAATTGAATTAGGTGCACTTTGGTTTCTGTGTAACTTACAGCGACACGAGGTTTAATGAAAAATCACGAAAACAGATAACTCCAAGTGGGAGTAGTTTTTCTAGAGCTGCAGAGATGTCGATTTTCACCTTTACTTGGGTAGAAGCTGTTTTCATACGTTGGTGTTTTAAAGTTTATGGGGGTTCAGAGTGCTGTTCTCAGAGTTACCCAGAAGCAGTTTTGAGAATCCCTGGGATTTGTCCTTTTTTTTTTTTTTTTTTTAAATATTCTGTGAATGCCCAGTGAATGATGTGGCACAAATTTCAGCTCTACCGCAGATTCACATGTTTGTTAGGGGGGGATATTGGCCTGGACTCGTCTTGCTACAAGCAAGGTAATGGAGGCGCAGGAAGAGGGTAAGTGGCTTGCTTTGGGTCTGGCCAGCAGTTAGCGGCGGAACTGGTACTAAGTTAGGTCTGGACCCCCTCCTCTTCCTTCACTTTGCAGACCTGTGGAACTTGGGATCTAGCTCCAGCTGGGATGAAGGGGAGCAAAAGATTACTGGATAGGTTGGGCTAATGTAAAATACTATTGAGAAACTCATTCGGTATGTTTTAAGGGAAGAGAGTTTTTCTGTATTAAGCCGTGCTTCAGATGATTTTGAAAGTGCCGCAAGGTAACGCTATCAATACGGCTTTTCTCGCATGACACTCAGTGTTTGAGAAGTGATCCAATAAAGCCAGTATAAGTGAGTAGAACCTAGGTTTGTGGGATTTACAGCTCCTGTCCCTTCCTTTGTTGTCCATCACTGATTGTCAGAATTCAGAATGTAAGGTATGTTCAATTCCGATCCCTCTCCCTTTCCTTGTTTAGCTTAGTTTTCTTAGCTCCACCTTTTGACCACTGCTTGCAATGGTAGCAAATTTTGTTCTGCTTTGCCAACAGGCAGATGTCTCTCAGCTACCCCTGTATAGCTCCAGTCCTGTTCATGTTCTCTCTCACCAACAGTACAGCTGTGCTGTGAGGATGTTAAGGGGATGAGTGAAGAGGGGTTTGAGAGTGTCATTAACTGGGTGAGTGTGTATGGAGTCTGGCTCCCTTCTCTATCCTTTCTTATATGTCAATGTCTAAATAAAAGAGAATATAGGGTCAGTTGCTGGATATACTCTTAATCGTGACGTTTGGTCATTTCTAGCACATTGGAAATGTAATTGGCACTGTGTAGGTAGAGTTAAAGCATGAGGTGTGCTAGTCTTTTCTATGGACATAAGGTATCCCTCATTAAATACTGTGCCTATAAGCATTTTAAAAAGTGATACATTTTAAATCCTAAACCAATCTTATGGTTCTTTCAAATTATACTAAGCTCTGATATAGTTCGGTATGTGAAATTCTTGTCAGATGCAAAAGTGCTTGAGGATTCTGAGCTAGGGGCAATAAAAGACAATTTATGAATCTTTGATGCATTCAAATATTCTGCATTATCAGTAAGCCCATCTGTCTCCAATTCCTACCAGTATTCCTAAAACTTTGCAATAAATAAATTAAAATAAGATGTCTTGATTTATAGTTCTTTAGGAACTTTGCCTTACTCATGATCATGTTGTTTATGAAACCTCAGGGAAAAGGCAGAGGAGTTTGGAATAAAACTCTTCCATGTTTGATCTTTTGGAATCATGAGGATTTGTAAGGTTTACTGTTTACAGCCTTCTTTTGTGTTGATGATTTCATACTTTCCTATTTTTGTACCAGGTTTAAGAAGAGAGTTTGCTTGTGTCAGTTTGCCAAGGAACACTGATTGACAGTTTTCTAATTTCATTTTGAATCACATTTAATATTAGATGTGGTAAATGCTCAATGCTCTTGATGAAGGAAGTATATATATGTGTATATGTGTGTGTGTGTGTGTGTGTGTGTATTTTTTTTTTTTAATAGAGAGCTTGGTGCTTGACAGAGAAACCTTTGTTAAGCACATCATGATCCCTTTGTGGATGCTTTAAGAGGCACAATCCAGCTAGCCCATAGTTCTAGCCACATAGACCTAGCCTAACCTCAGAATTGATTGCTTGACTATTTGCAAAGAACTTTTGGTCCACTGTTGAATTTGTTGTGAATTATAACAAATCATAATACAGTTTCTTCTTTTTGCCTGTTCTGTAGCTTGATTGCACATTGATCCAATCCTCCTAACAACTAGTCTTCCAAAATATAACTGGATTCTCCTGATACCACATTCTCCTTCAGTAGTGCTTCACTTGACAAGGTCCTGCTAAGGTAGTAGAATTTGGTTATTTCCATTTCTGTATCAAAATCTCTGACTATGGGGAGTTTTGTTGAAACAAATTGGTTGGCTTCGGGCTAACCAAAAGTCAAGTTCCCTTAATTCCGTTTGGTCTTACAAAGAGGGGTACGTAATTCTGTATTTACTTGTGTCAGTACCTCTAAGTAGCATCCATGAGCATTTAACAGTTAGAATTGCATCCTAGAGATGGGGCAGAAGTCCTCTTTTAAAAACAGTTTTTCTAAGACACTCCCTAAGAACCACAGGGACTTATTTTAATATGGGCTGTCTGGTTCTTTGTGAAAACCTTGATGTCATTTGTGTGTCCCTTTAGTGTACCTTTGAGCTATTACCTCCATCATGTTTGTCCTTAATTCTGTCCAGTTTGCCATCATCTGCCCCTCTATCACTTAACAGTTACCCTGCTTGCTCACTGGTTCCTTCTACTATGCCCAGCAGCCTTATTCTTCTTCTCAAAAATATTTTGATTCACTTACAGTGGTGGAAATCCGACATCTTTCTTGAAGGCTAATTTTATCCCAACTCACAGTAATGCATTGGAATGGGATTATCCCTTTATCAAAGTGCTGATGAAACTTTCATCTTTGCAAGTCCAGTTAAATAACTTCCCCATCCCTATGTTAGCTTCCTCCAAGTTTTGGAATATTCTTTCTTTTTCTTTTCATTTCCCCTTTCCTTTCCTTTTTTCTTTCCTTTCCTTTCCCTTTCCCCTTTCCTCTTTACCCTTTCCCCTTTCCTTTCTTTCCTTTCCTTGGATTAGGTTCAGCTGTGACAGAAAGCCCCAAAAAAGCAATGGTTTTAAAAAGGTAAAAGTTTAGGGGCTCCTGGGTGTCTCAGTTGGTTAAGCATCTGACTCTTGATGCTGGCTCAGGTCATGATCTCAGGATCATGAGATCTAGCCCTGCATTGGGCTCGACACTTAGCTCGGAGTCAGCTTGAAATTCTTTCTTCCTCTGCTCTCTGTCCCCCCACCCCCCCACCCCCGACCCCAGTCCTCTGCTTATGCTCTCTCTCTAAATAAATAAAAGTAAATTTAAAATGGTAAACTTTTTTTGTTTTGCAAATAAAAGATAGTTGCGTAGTTCTAGTCCAAAGATTCCTTAGGTACTGAGGCTGCATCTTAGTTCCTTGCCATTCCTAAGATGTAGTCTCTACCTCATGGTGAAGATGGCAGTATTCCTTTCCAGAAGTAGGGTAGATAAAGGAGTTGGGGCAGGGGGGAGAAGCCAAAGACAGCAGTTTCTTAAGTAAATTTCCTGGAAACTGTCAAAGAACTTATTTGCTTCCATCTCAATAGCCGGAACTTAGTCATTTGGTGAGACCTAACTGGAAGGGAGGCTGGGAAATATAGTCTTTATTCTGGGTGGTTAATATGCTCAGTTAAAAGTGGTATCACTAGAAGATGGGATGAGTAGATAAGATAGCAGGGGATATAAGTAGTGTTTTCCAGTATCCTTTTTTGTTGTTGTTTCTGGCTCACATTTTTTTTCTTTCTAATGGCAGCTTGGTGTAGTGGGTATGAGCTCTGTGTCTTTGGGAAATTCTTATAACCTCTCCAATCTTTAGTTTCCATATGTGTTTAATGGGGAGTAATACAAAGTATGCAAATACCTTATAACTATTAAATATAAGATACTCTTTCCTAGAAATTTACCATCTTAGTTGCTGATTCTTCTAATAATATGGCTTCATAATTCCTTGTCTTTATCGGTGACCAGTTTTGATTTCCATTTCCTTCAACTGCATGAGGGCATAACCACATCTTGTAAATGTCATCTTTAGAATTTTGCCTTCTGAAAATCCTCTTTCCGTCCTTAAACTTTTTGCCCCACAGTTCTTCATTCCATTATTTTGCTGAACATGCCTCTCATCGTGATTTTTCATGGATTAAGAGTCTGTCAGCTTCTTGTCTGTCTTGCCTCCCTATTCTTTATGTTTCCGAAGGTCAAGCAATTCAGTGATGTTTTTGCTAGCATCCCATGTCCTCATTTACCAAAGACATCAGATACATAATTTACAACATAGTGTGATGATTCTTTCATGGAGGATACAGCCAGGAAGAGGGGAGGGTCTTGGTTGTTTTGGAGAACTGAGGGGTGATGATGAGCTAACAAGTAAATGAGACCAGGGGAAGGGACATAGCATGTGGAAAAGCAGGACTCTGCAAAAGCAAAATGTATTTAAAGGGAAAATGGCTTGATATGCCTAGGACATAAAATGAGTACTGAGAGTCATGAAAAATGAGGCCTGACAAGTGAGCAGGGACCAGATTGCAGAGGGCCTTGTTAGGGATTTAGATCTGATCTTGCAGGCCAGTGGTTCATCGCCAGTTTCCCCCTGACAGAGCTACACAGACCCATATAGTACACATTGTAAACGGTGCCATACCATACCTGGATCTCAATAGTTGGGATGCCTTCACAAATAAAATAGGCTTCTGTTGAGTTTGTCTTGACCTCTCATGGCTGCTGCTTTTGTTTTTTTCTCTGGCACTTTTTTCTGCTCGTACTTTTTTCTCCCAAATTTAGGATTCCTTACAAAGCTGCTGTTGGCCCTATTTCTCTATTTTTTCCTCTGGTGATCTCATTTGGTGTAATAGCTTTAGCTCCATTTGCCCATTTCTGATTGCATATTGCATACTCCATATCTCCAACTGAAATTTCCTTGTGTCATTTAAGTGTATCATCTCTGATTTTTCTTTTGTATTTTTTGCTTTTTGTTAGTGGTGCTACCTTTCTCTGCCTGCAAATTTGGAACGAAGAGTCCTTCCTCTTCCCTGCAATTCCCATAGCTGCTAACCTAGTTCAGAACCTCATTAACCTTACTGGCATGATTTTAATAGCTATCTAGTTTCATCCTGCCTCTGGTCTTGTTTCTTTCCTTCCAATTTATACCCTGTTGCTACACTTATCTTCCTATGTTTAGAAATACAATTCTGGGGGCGCCTGGGTGGCTCAGTGGGTTAAAGCCTCTGCCTTCGGCTCAGGTCATGATCTCAGGGTCGTGGGATCGAGCCCCACATCGGGCTCTCTGCTCAGCGGCGAGCCTGCTCCCTCCTCTCTCTCTGCCTACTTGTGATTTCTGTCTGTCAAATAAATAAATAAAAGCTTTAAAAAAAAAAAAGAAAAAAAGAAATACAATTCTGCCCATACTGCTTCTGCTAGAAAAAATATCATTGTCCACAACTAAAGTTTCAGCAATATTTTTTCAAGTACTTTTCTTCACCCACATATACATCCACCAAATGGAATAATTTCTTCTTCCATATATATTCCTTAAACCATTATGCCGTTGCTGCCATGTTTTTGTTGCCTATATTTCTTTTCTCCATCTTTACAATATGCCTTAATTCACAGTCTAGCTCAAGTGACTTTGCTGGAATTTCTCAGCTGGAAAAAACATTCTCTTTTTACGTGAAACTCAATATAGTTTATTCAGTTCTTCCAATTACTAGCTGAGTAACATTGGGCAGAGTATTTAAGAGCTCTTTTATCTCAGTTTCTACATCTGTAAAATTGGGATAATACTATATTTAATTGGTTCTAAGACATTTCTATGTTTTAACATCTCTAAAATAGGAATTTGTCTTATAATTGATAATATATTGAAGTTTAATTGGCAGATTTTTTTTTTCTTAGTACATAAAGTAGAGTGCATCTCCTACTTGATAGTATCTTAAATTTGGTATCATATGGTAACAATATAATATCGTGGTCTTGGTGTAAGAATTAACGATCTTTGTGTAAATGCGTAGTACAACATAGGTCCAGAGTAGTGCTCAGTAAATGTTAGCTGTTGTTATTAGGTATAGGTGACCCTTAAATTATGGCCTCATGGAGTCCTAAAAATGGTAATCAGTTGGAATGTCATTGAGTTGAACCCTTATTTCTGTAGTTGCTATGTTTACATTTGATGACATATGAATGCTAAAGTTGGTCATGAAAAGAAGTAGGAATGTAATGCATCAAATATATTTTATACACATTAAAAAATTAAAAAAAGGGTCAATCATATTTTAAAAGCTTTATTTTAATTACCTTTCAGGGACTTTTTTTAGCGTGGGCTGGACTATCCGAGGCCTATTAAAATATGAGTCCAGTGAGTTTTACCTTCTTGACAGATACTTTCATAGTAGCCATAGATGTTCATCATGCTTCAAGTACTTTTAAACTTCAATTAAAATGAAGGCATATGTCTTGAAAATTTTATTGATAATGAATATTTATGAAAGCTTCAGAAGTTCTTAAGTAGGAAAAGCTGAGTATTTTCCTTGGTGACTTCTTCAGAGATCTCCTTGCCCTTTCATTTCAGAAAGAGGTTGCTGAGCTGCTACCAACCTTGACAGGGGCCAGTGCTTCCCAGGGCTGGAGTGAGGCACAGGCTTTTCTCAGGGGCTCAGCAGCAATCCCAGGTGGCCTGTATTTTTCTTGTTTACTCTTCTAATGGTTCTGAATATAAGTCTAATTTGTTTTTGTTTTTCTGCTTTCATTCCATTGTTTTAGCTCTACCATTTAGCTAGAATTTGTGGAATTTCTAGGTACTGCCAGGCACTGATCTAGGAGCTCTTATAATTTTTATAGTATTCTTGTGGGGGAAGAGATATAAACATATATACTGTCAGGCATCAGGCTGTAAAATGGTATATATGCTTTCTTATTTATCTAAGTGTTGATTTGCATGTCTTGACTTGCTTAACAAATTGTAAGCAATTTGATACTGGGATTCATAGCTAATTCTGTAATTCCATGAAAGATGGTAGAGACTTAATGATTGGTGAAAGAATAAAGTTTGGTTCTAGGGATGATGTGGGTGAAAGAGAAAGAAGACACAACTGTAACAAGTTAATATTTACTGTTTGTCATGGAGATTCTGAATTATAGCTTAGAATATATTTTACAAATTAGTGATAATACTGTCAGTGGATAGTTTCTGATGAAACATCAGACTTTTTTTGTCATTCTGTTTGGGAATTTTTTAGGATGTAATTTTCCATGTATAGATGGAAATTTTGAATTAAAAGGTAAATTACTTAATTAGTTTAATTGATTTGATAAAACTCCCAAGAGTCTACTATAGATATATTTTTTTTCCAAATGAAAGGTAACCCTTGATTTATATAGAAAATTGATAAGTTTTTTTTATCATTTGAATGTGCAGTTCAGTCTGTATTTGTGGAAATGGAAATACAGACTAGGGATCAGTTTCCAGGACTGGGTAGTGGTATTTTGGTAATAAGGAAAGCATTTGCCTTAAAAGACATCTTAATAACTTAAAACCTGTGTATATTTTCTTGCAGTATTATCAGAAAATCCACCCAGTTTCACCATTACTGTGACATCTGAGGCTGGAGAAAATGATGAAAGTAAGTCCAATTGAAAATACTTGTGGTTTTTCTAAGTTGCTCTTAGGAATGTTACTCCTGCAGCCATTATGTTGGCATTGAAGATGTGGAGGTGCTAATAAGTATGGTTCTGTTAGGAATCTAGCATGAATGTTGGGTATTCCCTAATTAGCATTTACTATGTAAACATGACTTACAGAGAAACCGAGAGGAAGTCACTGAGATGTATTCTGACACAATGAATTTAGTTTTAAAAAGTGAGAAAGAAACATTAACAATATAGCAAATGGAGAAAAGTTAGAAGATTACTCTGTAAAATGAGACTTTGAAGTATATTTCAGTGACTATGTTGTGGCATTCCATTGAGTGTTATTTTCCCATGGTTGTTTTTACTCTTTGGGCATTTAGATTGCTTATTGGACATTTGCTATTATTTATAAATTAAACTGAATAAATGTCTTTCTTTATGATTTTCTCTCTCTCTTTAGGATGGATATTGTATTGTTGTTTAAAAACACATATACATAAAACCAGGTAAAAGCCACTATTATACAACTATTGAACCAAGATAAATATACTGATGGAAATAAAACAGTTATAAAACCAATAATTTAAAATTAAATAGATTGATTTAAATGTGGCAGATGTTGGGGGGAGGATCTGAAGTTCATTTCCACCATTCGTCCAGTTCAGTTAATTTTGGAATTTGATAAAATGTTACATAAGTTGGTGTTAACCCCAAGGATTTTTTTTTTTAACGTTAAGCTAGTCAACTAAAATTTGCTATGAGCAATCAATAATGCAGATTTTAGTGGTATCACCTGATAACTCTAAATCTGTCTTGTACAACTGAAAAAGAGTTTAGCACAGAGATATTACTAAAATCTGAATTAAAAAGATGTTGGACACATTTACTTCTATATGTATTTATATATTTATGTAGGTTTTATACATAGAATCTCAAATACAACCAGAGTATCCTTTTATACTTTGAAATGTAAATAAATGTATAGAAGATACTTTAAAATATCTTTTAAAAAATATTTTTATGATGCTTTAAATATCCCAAAATGGTAACAGTGATCTTTTCCTGGTGGTGGGATTATTACTGATTTTGTTTTCCCCTTAATATATTTCCAAATTTTCTATAATGAATGTCTATTACATCAAACAGTAAAATCAGTAAATGTATTAAAGAATTCTTTTCCTAGCAATAAAATTAGAAGTGTGTTAATTAAAAAAGAATATGCCAGAAGACACTATGTATCCTTATTGGCCTGACAATCTTTTTTTTTTTAATTTAAATTTTGCTTGGTTAACATACAATGTAATACTGGTTTTAGGAATAGAATTCAGTGGTTCATCACTTACTTACAACACCCAGTGCTCATCATAACAAGTGCCTTCTTTAATACCCATCACCCATTTAACCCACCCCCACCCACCTTCCTCCATCAATTCTCTGTTCTCTCTAGTTAAGAGTCTCTTATGGCTTGTTTCCCTCTTCTTTTTTTCTTTTCCCCCTTCCCATATGTTCATCTGTTTTCTTTTTTAAATTCCATATATCAGTGAGTTCATATTTTTCTTTCTTTGACTTATTTCACTTAGTGTAATACACTATAGCTCTATCCACATCATTGTGAATGGCAAGATTTCATTTTTTTGATGGCTGAGTAATATCCCATTGTGTATATATACCACATCTTAATCCATTCATCAGTTGATGGACATTTGGGCTCTCTCCAGAGTTTGGCTGTTGCTGATAATGCTGCTATAAACATCAGGATGCATGTACCCCTTCGAATCTGTATTTTTGTATCTTATGGGTGAACACCTAGTAGTATAATTGCTGGATTGTAGGGTAGTTCTATTTCTTACTTTAAAAAATTTTATTTATTTATTTATTTCTAATAATATTTATTTTAGAAAGAGAGAGAGAGAGAGAGTGTGTGTATGTGGGGGGGGGGGAGGGGATGGCAGAGGGGGAGGAGAGAGAATTCCAAGCAGGCTCCACACTGAGTGCAGAGCCCGATGTAGGGCTGTCCTATAACCCATAAGATCTTAAGCTGAGCCCAAACCAAGAGGATGCTCAACTAACTGAGCCACGTAGGCACCCCTAATTTTTAACTTTTTGAGGAACCTCCAAACTGTTCTCCAGAATGGCTGAACCAGTTTGCATTCCTACCAACCATGCAAGAATGTTACCCTTTCTCTGCATCCTCACCAACATCTGTTGTTCCTTATGTTGTTAATTTTAGCCATTCTGATAGGTGTGACATGGTATCTCATTGTGGTTTTGATGTGTATGTATTTCCCTGACCATGAGTGATGTTGAGCATCTTTTCATGTGTCTGTTAGCCGTCTGTATGTCATCTTTAGAAAAGTGTCTGTTGATGTCTAATGCCCATTTCTTTCTTTTTTTTTTTTAAGATTTTATCTATTTATTTGACAGACAGAGGTCACAAGTAGGCAGAGAGGCAGGCAGAGAGGAAGGGAAGCAGGCTCCCTGCTGATCAGAGAGCCCAATGATGCGGGGCTCAATGCGGGGCTCGATCCCAGGACGCTGGGATCATGACCTGAGCTGAAGGCAGAGGCTTTAACCCACTGAGCCATCCAGGCGCCCCTCTAATGCCCATTTCTTAACTGGATTATTTGTTTTTTGAGTGTTAAGTTTGATAACTTCTTTATAGATTTTGAATACTAACCCTTTATCAGATAATGTCATTTGCAAATATCTTCTTCCATTCCATAGGCTGCCTTTTAGTTGTTGATTGTTTTCTTCACTGTGCAGAAGATTTTTATCTTGATGAAGTACCAGTAGTTCATTTTTTGCTTTTGTTTCCCTTGCTTCTAGAGACATGTCTAGTAAGAAGTTGCTATGGCTGAGGTTGAAGAGGTTGCTTCCTATGTTCTCCTCTAGGATTTTGATGGTTTCCTGTCTCATATTTAGGTCTTTCATCCATTTTGAATTTATTTTTGTGTATGGTGTAAGAAAGTGGTCCTTTCTTCAGCATGCTGTCCAGTTTCATTCTTCTGCATGTTGCTGTCCAGTTTTCCCAACACCATTTGTTGAAGAGACTGTCTTTTTTTCCATTGGATATTCTTTCCTGCTTTGTCAAAGATTAGTTGACCATACAGTTGTGGGTCCATTTCTGGGTTTTCTGTTCTGTTCCTTTGATCAATGTGTTTGTTTTTGTGCCAGTGCCATACTGTCTTGATGACTACAGCTTTGTAATAGAGCTTGCAGTCCAGAATTGTGATGCCTTCAGTTTTGTTTTTCTTTTTCAAGATTGTTTTGGCTATTTGGGGTCTTTTGTGGTTCCATACAGATTTCAGGATTGTTTGGTCTAGCTCTGTGAAAAATGCTGGTGGTATTGTATTTTGATAGGGATTGTATTTAATGTATAGATTGCTTTGGGTAGTACAGACATTTGAACAGTGTTTGTTCTTGCAGTCCATGAGCTTGGAATATTTTTCTATTTCTTTGTGCCCTTTCCAATGCCCTTTTCAATTTCTTTCATAACTGTTCTCCAGTTTTCGAAGTATATATCTTTTATATCTTTAGTTAGGTTTATTCTTAGGTAGCTTGTCATTTTTGGTGCAGTTGCAAATGGAATTGATTCCTTGATTTCTTTTTCTGCTGTTTCATTATTGGTGCCTAGAAATGCAACAGATTTCTGCATATTGATTTTATATCCTGCAACTTTGCTGAATTCCTGTATTAGTTCTAGCAATTTTTTGGTGGAGTCTTTCAGGTTTTCTACATAGAGTGTCATGTTGTCTGCAAATAGTGAAAGTTTAACTTCTTCCTTGCTAATTTGGATGCCTTTTATTCCTTTTTGTTGTATAATTGTTGAGGCTAAGACTTACAGTACTGTGTTAAATAGTAATGGTGAGCATGGACATCCTTGTCTTTTTCCTGATCATAGAGGAAAGGCTCTCCAGTTTTTCCCCATATAGGGTGATATTAGCTGTGGGTCTTTTTGTATATGGCCTTTATGATGTTGAGATATGTTTCCTCTATCTCTACTTTGTTGAAGGTCTTTATCAAAAAATGGATGCTGCATTTTGTCAAATACTTTATCTGCAACTATTGAGAGGATCATATGGTTCTTGTCCTTTCTTTTATTAATGTGGTGTGTCACATGCATTGATTTACAAATATTGAACCATCCTTGCAGCCCAGGAATAAATCCCACTTGATTATGGTGAATGATTCCTTTAATGTACTGTTGGATTCGATTTGCTAGTATTTTGTTGAGAATTTTTACATCCGTGTTCGTCCTCTGATGGCCTGTTTCTTCTTTTTAGTGGGGTCTTTGGTTTTGGATTCAAGGTGGCTTTGGAGAATGAGTTGGGAAGTTTTCCTTCCATTTTTAATTTTGGAATAGTTTGAGGAAAATAGGTATTAACTCTCCTTTAAATGTCTGGTAGAATTCCCCTGAGAGCCATCTAGCCCTGGACTTCCATTTTGGGGGAGATTTTTTATTATTGATTTAATTTCTTTGCTGGTTATGGTTCTGTTCAAATTTTCTATTTCTTCCTGTTTCAGTTTTGGTAGTTTGTAGGTTTCTAGGAATTTATTCATTTGCTTCCTGGTTGCCCAATTTATTGGCATATAATTTTCCATAGTATTCTCTTATAATTGTATTTCTATGATGTTGGTTTTGATCTCTCTTTCATTCATGATTTTGTCTTTTTGGGTTAACAGTCTTTCTTTCTTTCTTTCTTTTTTTTTTTTTTTAAAGATTTTATTTATTTATTTGGCAGAGATCACAAGTAGGCAGAGAGGCAGGCGGGATGGGGTGGGGGAAGCAGGCTCCCCGCTGAGCAGAGAGCCCGATATGGGGCTCGATCCCAGGACCCTGAGATCATGACCCGAGCCGAAGGCAGAGGCTTTAACCCATTGAGCCACCCAGGCGCCCCCAGTCTTTCTTATATCCATTGACTCATAAAATTCCTTATTGATATCATACACAAAAATTAAAATATCAAACTCACACATTTTAAGGTTCTTTTTTCCTCTTATGGGGAGGAATCTAGATTTGAGTTAAAATTATCAAGATCAGGAGTTTTTAATAATTAAAATGTGAGTTTTTTACAAGAAAGCTGAAGTTTAGACAAAGGATCATTGTGATTAATAAGTTTTATTTATTTATGTATTTGTGAATATTAAGTTTTAATAGAAAATGTTTAGCACTGCTGCTTAGTTGCAAATTTCCTGGTGGAACTGAGTTCACCAGGTTGGTCTGTAGGGAGATACCTTGCATTGATCTGCCTATAAGGGTCTCATTCCTGTACAAATGTCAGATGTATGCATTGATATGGCTAAAAGAGTGAGTGAGAATGTATAATGAGTCAAGCAAAAAGTTTCTCAGACAGCCTCTCAAACCCTATTTCTAAACCCTGTCATCTAGCAACCCCTTAGCAGTCCCTTGCTGGCACTGTGCATATAGATATACAGACTTCAGGGCTGATGCAGATCTTCCTCACTGGGAGCTGGCTCTGGTAGAGGCCTGAAAATAAGCCTAAGGTAGTGTTTTTTTTTCTTTTTTCTATGTATTATATTCTGTGCCTTTTGTTCATCTTAAGGAGGGTCTTAAAAAGAGTGGCTTTTATCCATCCTCTTTCCCAGACATGCAGTATGGTAAAATACTCATAAGTAATAAATGTGTTTCATGTGTTTGAGGTGATTTTTGGTATTCCTATGATTTGTTTTCACTTATCTTTGTGGTATGTGTTATTTATCTTAGTGATTATCTGTCTGATCTCATAGTAACCTTGTTTTGCTTTGCAGGAAAATTTCTTGTGCTACTTTTCATTGACACATTGTAAATTAATTACTGATTCAACAAAAATGTTGACCTCTCTATACTTTACATTTTAAAATACTCATATCAAATTCTTATCTCATGTCTTTAGCTGTCCAGACTACCCTCAAGTTTACATACAGTGAAAAATACCCAGATGAAGCCCCTCTTTATGAAATATTCTCCCAGGAAAATCTAGAAGATAGTGATGTCTCAGACATTTTAAAACTATTAGCATTACAGGTAAGGAAATAAGTTTTGTAATGGCATTTTTATTGGCCTTAAATAGTATGTAATAATTTCAAGAGTCAGAAAATGCTAGTAAATATGTATAACCAGTACACTGAACAAGGAGAATTCATGGTGTATCTCTCTCCCTTTCTCTCTCTCTCTCTATATATATATGTATGTACAGATACAGGTATTCACAAAGCATATTTTTTTGTTTCCCATTGTACATTTAAAATTTGAGTAACTGAAGTTCCTATATCCCTTCTTGGAACTCAGTCAGCCTCATGACTTTTAGTTAATAAAGTGTCTGGTAAGTACTTTAAGTTTAAACACAGTTTTGATCTGGTTCTCAAAATGTCTAGCCCCATGTGCAGTTAAAAATTCTGACTTAAAAAATAAAAAAATTCCGACTTTTAAAAAAATTAAAACTCCTAACCCTCTCACCTGTTGTAGGCTAGTTGCCTGCAGTCTGGGAAGAGGACTGGTGATTGTTTTGTTTTTCTTATCTTTCATCTCCTGAGGCTTACAAGAAGCAGCCAGGGTTTATGATCCCTCTGAGAGCAGGGGGTTGTGAAGAAAAAGTGGGTATTGGAAAACTCTTGGCTAGTTCTGTGGTAGGAAAAGTTCCCCATAGTTTGTGCTTAGCTAAAATTTAAAGCTCTGTCTTGCTTTGGTTGAGAGTTTTCATGGGTTCTTCAGAGTAGGGAGTAGGGAGGACAAGTGCAATCTTTATTCCACCATGTTATAAATAGAAGTCCTAGTTTTGTTTATTTGCTCTAAGACCAATTGACAGAAAACATATCTACACCTTAAATATGACTGATATATTTCATGGACTCTTGGTCCTCTGACTGCTGATATTTTAAAAATATCTGGAGCTATTAGAGAATGAAGAGTGAAATAAATCAAACATGAATTTATGCTTATCTTGGGCTCTGTTCATTCTGCTACCCAGTATGAAGTTATACTAATTCTAATATTTGACTTAAAATGCTTCATTTTAAAACATTGCAGAGAACCTGAGGCAATATGCTAATTCAGTTAGTCATTTATTAATGTAAGTTATTTGATCTGAGTGATTACTTTCTATGTGTTTTATATTTTGTTTGTACTCAAGCTCCTTCATTTCAGAAAAGAAGTTTTGATTTCTTTCTCATCGTTACCAAAGATCATATCTATTGAGGGAATATTTATATTTTTTCTTCCAAAATAGTATTGATTTTCAATATCAAAATAATTCATATTATAAAAAACTCCGAAAGTACAGAAAATCATAAAAAAGAAAATTAAAATTACTGTTAATCTCACCAACCAGGTAAAACTGCCTATTATCATTTTGGTATGATATGGTTCCAGACTTTTTTTCTTATGCTTATACTCATAGTACTCCTCTTCTACCCCAAATTAGATCATTCTATATATAATCTTTGATAACATCCCAGATGTGGGCATCTGTCCATTTTAATAAACATGCATATGAATCATCATTTTTGATAACTGTGTAGAATTTCACTGTGTATAATTACACATATCCTTTTTGAAACAATTATTTACCATTTTTACCTGATTTAATATGTAATTCTTTGAACATGCTTCTTTTTTTGTGGGGTAAGGAAGGGGCAGGGGCAGAGGGAGTGAGAGAATCCCAAACAGGCTCCACACCCAGTGCAGAGCCCAACATGGGGCCTGACCCCACCACCCCAAGATCATGCCTGAGCTGAAATCAAGAGTCAGACATTCCACCGACTGAACCACCCAGGTGTCCCTTTGCACATTCTTCTGTATCACTATTTGTAAATCCTTAGAGCAGAGTCTCCATTGAATCCCTAGTGCCTGGAATACAGTAGACACTCAGATATTTTTTTGAATAAATGAAGAAAGTATATTATTGATGAGTATATAGTCAAGTGTTTTCTATAAGTAAGATTACTGGGTTAAAGGTTGTGCATAATTAATTTCATACACATTGCCAAATGGACCTTCAAAATGGTTGCGCCAGGTTATGATCTCACTGTAGCCATTGAGGTGTCTGCCCACCTCTGCTAACATTAGATTTTTTTCATTTAGAAAGAAAAAAGATAAGATGAAAATAGTATGTAATCATAATTTGAAATTCTTTAATTAGTAGTGATGTGGAAATCTCTTGTGTGACTTCTCATTGTCTGGTTTCATATAACTGATTCTTGGTTTGCCTTTCTTATTGGAACCCTGGAATACTTAAGTTGTTAAAAAAGAAAGCATACTGGGATTTGATTTTGAAATGTATCAAGCATTAAGTTAAGTGACCAAGACAGAGACCATCCCCACTTTCATTGGTTTTATATTCTGGTGAGGAATGTGGACTAACAAATTGGAAATTGTTATTCTGTGTGGAAAAGTGCTGTGAGTGGACATAGACTTGAGGCATCGGAGAAGCTTTCAAGAGAAAGAGTTTGTCAGGCAATGAAGAGAAGATTGAGGGCAGAGGAGCAAACTTGTTCAGAGTCATGGAAATGAGAGGGAGAGAAGAGATCAATATTTCCTTCCAGAGCTTTTAGTCATACTAAATTTCTTGAGCTTAGAATTTGAGGTTAGTGATCTTATGTGACAGAACTAAAAAGATTAATTCCCAAAGGATCTTTTGAACTATTTTAAAAGTATGGTGTTGCTCTGATTGATTTGGGAGGCTGTCAGGAATTTTAAGTGAGAGACTGACTGGATCAGTTATGTGTGTGTATTGAGTGGCTAGAGAAGTTGATGTCAGGGGTGACAAGACCACAGGTTTTAAGAAAACTGGTTAGGAGTTTCTTGTAATATTTGAAGATGATGGTGCCCTGGGTTAGGGTAGTAACAGTATTGATAGAGAACAATAGGCAAATTGAAATGACATTTTAAGAATAGATTAGAGGCAGTGGTAGAGCTTATGATAGGATGTGAGTGTTCATGCTGGGTGGTTGGTGGTTTGGTTCTCTGAGTTGGGGAACATAGAAATAGGTGTTGTGGAGATGATGATGATTTCAGTGTTCACATGCCTGCGGACATCATATTGCTGTCCACTGGGCAGTTTTAATATGGGTTTTGCACTCAGGAGAGAGGTTTATGTAGTCAGATTTAGGAAGGTTAGCATGGAGACACCACAGAGAAACCCCCAGAAGAGAATCATAGGAGCTAGCTTGAGACCTTGTGTTTAGCGAAGGCCAAGGAGATAAAATACCTACTTGAATGCCACTGAGGCCAGCCCTGTCAAAGTAGTGGCTGGAAATCTCTTCTGCTTCTAAGATGGAGATTCTGGCTTGTATACTTGGGATTTTTTTGTTTTGTTTTGTTGTTTTGTTTTTTTTGGTCTGTTTCCTTCAGACTATATCTTGTTTCTATGGATAAGCAAGATACCTTGTTTTACTTCAGTCTGCTTTCAAATGACCAACTTCCAAATAGCTTTTGAATTACAGTTGACCCTTGAATAACATGGAGGCGAAGAGACACTGACTTTCCACACAGTCGAAAATCCGTGTGTAAGTTTTGACTGCCCCAAAACTACTACTAACTGGCAGGAAGCTTTACCCATAATATAAACAGTTGATTAATGCATATTTTGTATGATATATGTACTATATACTGTATTCTTAAAATAAGCACAAAAATGTTATTAAAAAGTCATAAGAGAGAGAAAATACATTTACAGTACTATACTGTGTTTATTGGGGGGGAAAATGGTTGTAAGTGGACCTGTGCATTTCAAACCTATATTGTTCAAGGGTCAACTGTCTATCCCTTGCATGAGTTGGAGAGCTTTTATATTTGATTTTAAGCCATTTCAAATTGAAGGAAAAAGACAGGTAAAGATAAATCACAAAAGTATCTGTATTCTTTATTATTGTATATTAGAAAGTCACTTTGGCCTCAAAGTTCAGTTCATTGTCACAGCTCTTACAATAGCCCAAAGATCTAAATTGTGAAAATTTGGTGGAGAGCTCATGTTACTAGCTGCTGTAGGAAAAAGTTTTCTGAATTCTGGTAATTAAACAGAATCGAGTAAAATAGGTATCTGTTTCAGGTTGGAGGTAGCAAATTACATGTCTTTTAAAATTTAACATGTAGTTATATATATGTATGTATGTGCTCCATTCTTAAATGCTCATTTATCCAGGTGTCTGAACTTACACTGTAACTGAATTAGTAATCATATTATAAATGTCTGGAATTTAGTGATTATGATGAAGCACTTATTCACTGGTTAGTTTTTCTGTTTTTCTGAGAAGTACGTTTCTCATTACAATCTTTCTTTTGTTTACATAGGCAGAAGAAAACCTTGGTATGGTGATGATCTTTACTTTAGTGACAGCTGTACAAGAAAAATTAAATGAAATAGTAGATCAAATAAAAACCAGAAGAGAAGAAGAAAAGAAACAAAAAGAAAAAGAGGCAGAGGAAGCTGAAAAGGTATATTATAAAGCTGGGTTTTCTTTCATTATTTTTTACATCTTTTTTTTTTAATTGTTTGGTGGGATTTTTTGTTTTTGGAAATTTCAGTAATTTTGGCAATTGCAAAATAAATAAGAGTAAAATTTACTTAAATTTTCCTACATAAAATGTTAGAAGTCACTTACTGCATTGGTCACATAGCGTGGGTAATAATAAAGGTTAGTAGAGCTCATGCAAGTAAGATTGAGAAATATATATTATTTCTTTATAAATTATTAATTTTTTAATAAATTTCAAGTGTCTCATTTATGTAATCACATGTCTTTTTTATTTTCTAAGCAATTATTTCATGGCACTCCTGTTACAATTGAGAATTTCTTAAGCTGGAAGGCCAAGTTTGATGCAGAACTCTTGGAAATTAAAAAGAAACGAATGAAAGAAGAAGAACAAGCAGGAAAAAATAAATTAAGTGGTATGACTCCCCTCTCTGCTGCCCAGGCTGTTCTATATTCTTGCACAGCAAGAGGATCATTTGGACAGATTTCTATAAAAAAAATAAATAACATATTTGGGCATCTAGGACAAAAAGAGAAAGCATTCTATCGACATGATGACATTTCATTCATAATTATAATTAATTTTTATGGCTTACCTCTGATCAAAATATCTCAATGGATAGATCTTGAGATGTGGCTCCCACAACATTCTGAATCACAATGGTTAGAAGTGGTAGAGACAAGTGCATTTGGTTTTCTAGGACTCTGAAGCAGACTGGGTTTTCACTTGTTCGATTTTAATGCAGATATATATCACATGCCTCTTAGCTACTTACTGAATTGATAAATTTATTGAAATTCACAGAAAAATAAGTTTTCTTGTTTTCTCGGATTATTATACTTTTTAAAGGATTGTAGGGAAGATGGAGGAAAACTGGAGAGGTGGGAAACTGGAGCATATAGGAAAAATACGTTTGAATTAAATATATTTGTTTCTTTTAGGGAAACAGCTCTTTGAGACAGATCATAATCTTGACACATCTGATATCCAGTTTCTGGAAGATGGTAAGATAATATTAAGATTCCACGTGTACATAATGCACTGTTCTTAATATCAAACCATGAAAATCAGAGAGATAACTTAATGTAAAATTCTCCTCCAGGGCTAAAAACACACACACATTTTGAAGAATAGATTGTAATGTTTGATTAATTTATACACTAAACTATAGCAATATGTTTTTTAAAGTTTTCTGATAACCTAAGCAACATCAAAGATAGAAGTAAACAACTGTGGTCACATTAGTCTCTGATAACTAGTAAACCAGGCCACTGTAACTCAGGTGACCTGGTTTACTTAAATTTCTACTATCAGAAATCTCCGGAAACTATTTCATGGTCATGGAACTTTATAAGACCTCAAATCTGAAAGTCTTCATGCCCTCTAACTGAAAATCTTATGTTTCATACTAATCTTACTGTCTGGAACATCTCTTTCCCTGTACTTTCCTTCTCCTTTTTATCCTAAACCTTATCCTTTTTCAGTCTTCTGTCCATCCATTATTCATCCATCTATAGATATTTTGCACCCCTAGTATAAGCCAAGCATTGCCCTGGTTGCCGATGATACAGCAGCAGAGAACAGTATAGACAAATTCCCTGCCGTGGCCTATGTGTGTTCTTACACTGGGCTCCATACTCAGTCACATTTGTGATAGTGTCCTAGAGTTCTGCTTCATTAGCGTTTTTTCATGCTCATCTTGCCAGTTGGGGATCCTGTAGCATCTGGCCTTTCAGCTTTGTTCCTGGACTATCTCCTGGAAAAGGTTAAGAAGCAATGTTGATGTGGCCTCATTGCCAAATCATGCTTCTTAACTTGAGCTAGGCCCTTATGGACACTCACCATTTTATTTTATGTATCTTACTGCATTCTTGCTCCAAGACATTTATTAGTCTCAAACAAACAAAAACACCCCAAACAGACAGACATACCGACCCAGCAAGGTTGTCCTTGTGCATCCCACCCCCCCTCACTTTTCTAGCTTGTTTTTCTCCTATTTTATTGAGAAATTCTGGAACCAGAAAGCTGTGTCTTATTCTCTCTTGCACTTCAGGAGTTTTACTGTCTCCCCTCATCCCTGACTCCTTACCCTGTCTAATGGGTCAAGTATCTCTTCATATCCAGTGACTCACCAAAAGCTCTTTGTCGATTCTGTATCAGAAATGTTTTTTCCAGACATTTTCAACTCTATTCTCCTAACTTGAGCATTTTATCATTTTTTACCCCCTCGGTGTTTGTGGTGGCTTCTTGCATTGTCCCCTTGCTTCAGTCCCTTCCTCTTTTTGGTGCCTTTAGTCACCGCCCCTGAGGTGGCATTCCTAAAACTTACGTTTGATCATGACACTTCTCTCCTTAAAATCTTTTGATGGTTCTCTGTACTTAGAGGAAAAGGTTGGCCTACATAGTCCTTCAATTTGGACTTCATCTATGATATCTCCAGATATTTTTCCTAAAGAATCTTGTGTTCCAGTTGGAAATATTCAGTCTTATTTTTTCTTTCTTCCTTTGTGTATACCTCTACCTATAATTGCTTCATCCTGTCCCCTTTTCTTCTTGGTGGATTAAAATTTATTATAAAGATATTTTAGATGTCATCTGTTTGGGGAAGCCTTCTCTGTCTCTCCCAGAGACAGTGAATTATTCTTTGGCCTGCACTTAGCAAAAGTGTATTTTATTACTTAACAGCTCATAGGCATGAAGCAAGACTCATTCTCATTGAATTGAATGTCAGTGGGCTGGAGTCTGCCAGGAAGGGAAGATGAACAATTTTTAGTGATTTAAGAGTACTGTACTATCCCACATTTATGTACTTGAGACAAACTGAAGAGTAAAGATGTTTAATGCAAGGCCAAGGTATTGTTTCCTATAGTGCTCAGATATTTGGAATCTGAGAAAGGCATACCATTGGTTATAAGGGGAACTACGTGAGAGTAAGTGTCAGGTTATATCTAACAATGAAATAACAAGTATAGTTGAGCTTTAATGATGTGCATATCTGCCAGTACTGGAAGAGATAAACTCCTGGTTCAGGCCTCGTGGTCAGTGACAGTCAACTTTGTATAACCAGGATATACCATCGTCCTCCGCTTAGAACATGCATGTCATAAATAATTCATTCTAGGAAAGCTTTTTTTAATAACTGGAATTTTTTTTTTAAACTTGAAGCATGAAGTTGCTCTTAAAATGTGTGTCTATGCTGACCAACGCAGATGACTGTTGCTTTGATTTGCAGTAGTAGTTTAGGATTTCATCACAGGCACCTCACTTGCACATTTAGAAGTTTGTGTGTGGTGTTGCCAGTGAGTTATGTGATTTATTCCTGAGTATAAGACTGAAAGTGAAATCTTTTGTCTTTTGCAGCTGGAAACAATGTGGAGGTAGATGAATCTCTGTTCCAAGAAATGGATGACTTGGAGCTAGAGGATGATGAGGATGATCCAGACTATAATCCTGCTGACCCAGAAAGTGATTTGACTGACTAATGGACTGTCCCCAGCTGCAGAGAGGTGTGACTGCCACAGCATCTGTGGTTGTGCTGAGGTGTTGATTTTTCTTTCTTTTTTTCTAAGAAAAAATAATTTTCAGGAGAATATTCTTCTGATAGCTTTCATCATTGAACTTAATAAACTGACCTTAAAGTTTCAAATATAAAATGTTCAGTTCCTCTTCTTGGTAGGAATAAGGTAACATATTTAAAATCATTTACTGTTGGAGAGAGATCCAGCCTGTAACACTAAGACTTGAAGATAGAGTGCAGCAGTGCACAGTGAGGGTTCATATACAAGGAATTGTAGTAACTTGGAATTCCCATGCTGGAGACACTGATGGCTTTATGCTTCTGAGTGCTATCATTAATATAAAATACTAGCAGACGGAGGTAAAGAGCACATTAAACCTTCTGAATTCTAGCCTTTGGTCTTGATAGATTTAAGTCTTTACAAAAACAGAAGCCTAATTTGTATTCAGGATTAAAGTGGACTTTAGTCTTCTGGTAGTATTTGAGTCAGCATCCTCTGTGGAATTCTTAAAAGGTGTGCACTCCTAGGCTCTTCTCAGTTTAGCTTATTAAACACTGACTTTAATCTGAATTTTGAAACAGTGAAATCTCATGCCAGTTGACACAGGTTACACTGTTGCATAATCCTTATCCTACAGTCGTGAAATATATATATTTGTGATGTTCCCTTACTTTTCTAACTTAACCAGTTCTGAAAAGATCTGAATTGTTGAGGTCGTACACTGTCTGCAGGGGAACACATACCCACATTAATGCACATATGAGACCTTTTCTGTAATGATTTGGAACGACTGACTTGGGGACTTCAGGTAGGAGAGCCAAGCTTCATGCACGTTAGCCAGTCACTGTAGTTTTGGAGAATTGAATCTTAATCCTAATAGGATTAAGATTAACTTGTGCTATTGCAGATCACTGCCTCCTTTCAAAAGGACATATACTACATATCCGCAAGCACTAGCACCTCAGTCCCATGTTTATTTTTGGAGTTAGAACTCTGGCTAAAATCATACTATTTAAGACAAAACTATCATTGAGGAATGTAATACTTTGTCACTAGCTTTGGTTCTGACCAATAAAAGGGAATATCAGTAATGTTCAGCATTTCTCTGCAGAGACAAGTCTAAAAGTTTCTTTTGTGTGAGAATTAACTTTTTCTTTCTTTCTTTTTTTTTTTTTAAAGATTTTATTTATTTATTTGACAGACAGAGATCACAAGCAGGCAGAGAGGCAGGCAGAGAGAGAGAGAGAGAGAGAGAGGGAAGCAAGCTCCTTGCTGAGCAGAGAGCCTGATGCGGGGCTCGATCCCAGGACCCTGAGATCATGACTAGAGCCGAAGGCAGAGGCTTTAACCCACTGAGCCACCCAGGCCCTGAGAATTGATTTTTTCTAAGGAGAGATCCTTTCTGAAGATGCATTAAGAACTCAAGAGCAGTTTAATAAAGGGTAAAAACAAGCAATGATGAAGAATGTAGTGCTATGGTCAATGAAGATTTGACCTTCGAGTGTCAAGAGTGATTCTACCTCCTCCTCACTCCTGATTTTCTTTTAAAGTATAAGTTTTTTACGTTTTCTGTAGGTATTGAAGTGAATTCTACCTTTGTCATTTCAGAATATAGGCAGAACCTAATGGTATGGAAATGAAGACAAAGAGTTAGTTCTAATGATACTCAGGTATTTTCATCCAGAGTAAATACTACCATTTCTATTGTTTTCTGAGTTAAACAAGGACTCTACTTTTCAAACTGCAGCACACATAATCCCAGGATGTGCAAAAGCATGACTGGTGGTATTTGAAGTAATCACTGGCCATCTCAGATTATCAGTTTGGTTCTTGGATTTGGGATAATTTTTGCTTTTGTTTCTCTATGTATGCTAAGTTGTATAAAGTATAAGATTAAGAACAAATACAAGTATGTGTATCCTTTGCTGTATGCCTGTGACAATGTCTGGCACTGAGTAGGCATCTAATATTTGTTGAATGAGTGAATTACGGAATAGAATGAAAAATTGCCGTGCATTTTTTAAAGATAAAACATGACAGTTCATTGTTCTGTTTGCCATCTTCAGTTTTGCATAACTGGATTCTGCATTATTTTATACTCTTCTGCCAGCAGAGGTGCCTTAGGGAAGAGGTGGATAAATACTGATCTAAGGCAAACACATCTAAAAGGTTACAGGAACATTTCCTAGTTGAGGTAAGACCAGGAAGAGGATGAATAACAGCTCTTATGGATGCACAGGATGAGTTCATGGCTTGTACTGTCACAAACTCCAAAGATACATGTGCTAAGAAGCTAAGAGATGCATTCTTGGAGTCCAGGAGAGAGGGGAGTGTGGGTTTTCAGTATTTATATGCTAGCACATAGTTCGTGTTACAACACAAAGTAGTAAATGACCTCCAGTAGCTCGCAGTGTTTGTCCTTCAGAGAACATACATATCAGGCAGCAAAGGTAGACATTGTATGATATATTAAAATGGTTGACACTTCCACAACTGTAGAGAGTAATTTTGGAGAGACCATCGATATCTAATGTGATAGGGAAAGGTTTTTGCAAATGATACATGGAGTATGAGTCCATATAAATGTATAAACAGCAACGACATTAGGTTCTTTGCTGCTTTAGGACCTGTGTCAGAGTAAGAGATGCAGAATGTTGCCAAAAGGTATATTATGTTGATAGCCTTCTGTTTCTTACCACTTTAGTTGGGCAAAGGACTTGGAAAGAAAACGGGTGAGGTAGTTTGGGAATGCACAATTTAGTGTACCTTCCATTAATAAAAAATGGAAAAATGCTCGAAAATGTTCAAGAACATTATAAGGGATAGCAAAACAAAATTTTAAATAATAACTGCTGTGCAGAGCCATTTTGGCACCTGAGGTAAAAGGACAAACCAGTAATTACTTAAAATTTGGATATTTTATTTATTTTGGATTTTATGTTAATCTTTATTTTTTAAAATACTGCATTAAATAGTATTTATCTTAATAACTGAGTTTTTGGTGCCTCCTTAAATTTTGCAATTAATATCAGTGCCACTTACCTTACCATAGTCCTTGATAGTTCCAAAAGGCTTTCAGGGTTCTCTGGTCTCTATCCTAAGAATATTGAGACAGGCCTGGAGGTGAAACCATGTGGAGGGGGGCTCCCTTGTGTAAATGCAGATGCTCAGAAAACAAAGAATGAATCATACCAGCTTCAAGCAGATATTAAGCTAAAGCAACTAAGGGCCTGGAAATTACTAGACTATGTGCTACTGCCACATGCCTAAGACATCCCAAAAAATAGGTTATAGCTGGGAACCTGGGTGGCTCAGTTGGTTAAACGTCTGCCTTTGGCTCAGGTCATGATCCCACGGTGGGGATGGAGCCACACATCAGGCTCCCTCCTCAGCGGGGAGTCTATTTCTCCTTCCTCTACTCCCCACCGATTGTGCTCCCTCAAATAAATAAATAAAATCTTTAAAAAAATAGGTTATAAAAGAAGGGCCATCTGTACCCCAAAGTTCATAGCAGCAGTGGCTACAATTGCCAAAATGTGGAAAGAGCCAAGATGCCCTTCAACAGACGAATAGACAAAGAAGATATGGTCCATATATACAATGGAATATTCTGCAGCTTTCAGAAAGGATGAATACCCAACTTTTGTATCAACATGGACGGGACTGGAGATTATGCTGAGTGAAATAAGTCAAGCAGAGAAAGTCAGTTATCATGGTTTCACTTATTTGTGGAACATAAGGAATAACGTGGAGGACATTAGAAGAAGGAAAGGAAAAGTGAATTGGGGGAAATCAGAGAGAGAGATAAACCATGAGAGACTCTGGACTCAGAAATAAACTGAGGGTTTTGGAAGGGAGGGAGGTGGGGGGATGGGTGAGCCTGGTGGTGGGCATTAAGGAGGGCATGTATTGCATGGAGCATGGAGTGTAGTGCATACACAATGAATCTTGGAACACTGGAAAAATAAAATTTAAAAAATAGGATATAGCTTTGACCATACCAATCCAACCATAGGTGTGATATAATCTTTAGTAAAATGAATTATGCTCCAAATTTGGTGGTATCTTTAATAGATTGATTGTTGTGGAACTCACTGTCTAGAAATTATGGATCTGGAACATTTTCCACCTAGACTTTTGGGATATTTTTAAAAGAACTTGGTATTTGGATGTATCTTCTGACATTTAAGTTTTGTGTTAAAGGTCAGACTGATTTATCTTTTGTTTGAAATGGCCCTTAGCCATTAGGATCTGTTACCAAGAGTGTTTTAAAATGGAAATATTGATGCTAAGGCCCTTGAAAAACAACATTAAAGGAGAGTCTTAGGCACATTCTCTAAGGTATGCATTTAGTGTCCTTTTTTTCCCCCCTATCATCAACTTATTTTATTGGATTCTTACTGAGATAGGAAGTGTCTGTGTCCATGTATTTTACGAAGGGAGGTTGAAATGTCTCTCTTCCTCACATTGGTACTCAATTGATAAAGAAGCAGGACACGTTGAGCTAGCCCCAGAGAGCTTGAACACAGGGGAAAAAAATGATTTTAATGTTTAATACTTCATATTTTAGTTCACCACCAAAAATTAATGCATGTGTAATATGAAAATATATAAGATGGCTCTGGTGGAAAGAGTGAGAATTGGAGTAATAGGCTCTTTTAATAACTGAGAGTTTGCACATAATTAACAATCTCTGATTCTTGATTTCCTCTGTAATGTGGGGATTACAATAATTTCTGAATATGAAAAAATAACTTAAAAATGACAACTAATAAATGTGTTCAAATTGGTGAGTTAACACTGCAGTTGTTCACAGGGCTTTTTTTTCCCAAATCTCCCCACATTTCCTCTCCACCTTGTCCTCCTGCTCCGCACAATGAAATTGTAGGGGAGAGGTGTACTGTGTGGGCTGAATGTTTCATATATTGAAATCCTGAGCCCCATGGTGATGATGTGACGAGGTGGGCTCTGGGAGGGGATGACTGGGATTAGTGCCCTTGTCAAAGCCTTGAGCTCCCTTGCCACTTCTGCCATGTGAGGTCACAGTGAGAAGACCAGGAAGGAAGGAGATTTTCTCCAGACACGAAATCCTGGTGGCATTGCCTTGGACTTCCCAGCCTCTGAACTGTGAGAAG